CACACGGGCAAGCCACAGTGGCTCACACCTGTAATCCCAGCACTTTGGAAGGCCGAGGTGGGTGGATCATTTGAGGTTAGAAGTTCGAGACCTACCTGGTCAACATGGCAACCCCATCTCTACTAAAAATACAAAAATTAGCCAGGCGTGGTGATGTGTGCCTGTAATTCCAGCTACTGGGGAGGCTGAGTCAGGAGAATCACTTGAACCCAGCAGATGGAGGTTGCAGTGAGCTGAGATGGTGCCACTGTACTCCAGCCTGGGCAACAAGAGCAAAACTCCATCTCAAAAAACAAAAACAAAAAAACATACACAGAAATGGAGGCAGCACAGCCCATGACCTACCTTGGGGATACATTTGCAAAGGAGAATGAGACAGACCAACAAATGAGTTCTCCTTGTAGCATGTTATTCAAACCTCAAAATAAGATACAGCTCTCATTTCAAGGTGCATTTATTTTAGTGAGGTTGGGATTTGTAAGAGAAACAAAATGAATACGTTGGTGTGTGGGGACAGGAATTAAAATAAGCAGCGACTTGCTGCCTGCCGACATGAGTATCCTCACATCCGCTGCCTTATTTTTTATTCCATTCAGGTTTGTTTTCTCTTGCGGTGCTTTAAAATGATAGCTAAGTTAGAAAGAGAGGCCGGGGTAATCCTGGTTTCTGTTCATTAACCTTGTATGACGTATGTGCTGTTTTACTCACATTACCTCAGTGAATCCGTATGAAGTGGAGCTATAATTAGCCCCACTGTACAGGTGAGACGACTGAGCCTGAGACAGAGAAAATGCTCATGCTGAGTGACCCATCAGCAAGTGCTTGAGCCACGATGTGGACTGAGTCGGTGGAGCTCAGAGCTGAGCTTGAATCTACTCTGCTCTAATATCTAGAGATGTGTGTAAGCCCCAGTCTCTCCATCCCAGACGGAGCAGGTCGGATCTCCATGCTGCTGAGGGGTACTGGGACTCAGGAGACACCAGGCTAGCTCTGCATCCTTCTGCTCTTCCTATCATCTCTAGAAACTGGAGGTGGGCAAGGAGGAGGGGAAAAGAGGAGCCAGGAGAACACATAGTCTTAAGTAAGATTTCTTCCCTCTCTTCCTGCCTGGAGTGAAGTCCCTTATGAGTAAGCACCAATGGAAGGATACCAACACAAAGCAGCGAAGCCAGCCCCGTCAGTCCCTACCAGGCCTTCCAACTCCCAATCATCAAGGGTAAGGACAGAGACAGAAGAGCAGAGGAAGAGTGTGGACATGAAGTCAGACCACATCTTGGGGAATACGCCCCTCCCACCATTCCCAGGTGATGTGACCTTGGACAAGATAGTTAATCTCTCTGAGCCTCAATTTCCTCATCTGTAAATGGGAAAATGACAAGTCCTACTTCATAGGTTTGCTTTGAGGTTTGAGTGAGTCCATGTATGTATGTGAGGAGCTTCTCAGAGTGCCCATCGCATTGTAGAAGCTGAATACATATTAGTGTCCCTATAAGAACACTGCTACATGCTCTAGGATGACCTGTGCAGTAACTATATTCTGTACTATATAACATGCAATCATATGCTGACAACTGAAAACTAAACATGGTGTAGGGAGCGTTCCGGAAAAGGTAAGGGCAGAGGCCCTGCATTCCCTCTGTTTTTTTATCTCCCACAGAGCCAGCTGCTGCACAGTCCTATACCCTCAGCAGGGCCAGGAAAGTTTGTGCTGGAGGCCTGGGATAGACTTCAGTTTCCTGCATCATATCCCAAACGATAGCCAGAAAAGGCAGCACCCTTCCACTTTCCGGGAGAAGGGCAGCCATGCCTGAAACACCCCTATTTAATGGGATTATTTCTTCTTCATAAATCATATCTCATGGGAATGTTCATTTTCTCTCTGGCAGCTCATCAGCTCATCTGTACAATAATTGTTTCACAATGTAACAACCCATATATTAAATCAGAAGAGAACCTCCTTGAAGTATTATCGTACTAAACTCTTCCATCACAGGGAGGTCAGTTTTAGATCTCACTCAAGGAGATTTTGTTATCAAAGAACCACAAGCATTTCATTAAAGGTGCTTTCTCCTACAAGAGGAGAGAGATTATTTTTTATTTTTCTTCTTAGCCCAAAAGGTTATTGTTCTACATGTTCAATTTCAACAGCACTTAACGTGGTTCCTGACCATACCGTATCATTTACTTCCTTATTAGAGTCAGTGTTTCCTGCTTTGCCCACACTGCAATCTAGAAGGGTAGGAGGATAGGACTCTATTTCTTCACTGTTGTTTCCCAATCATCAGGAATGGTGCCTGACATATAGTAGATGCTCACTAAACACAAATATACAAATGGAAGCACATTTAGAGCACCTTTCTTTTGGAAAGCAACCACAGTCCATACAAAGATGTATCTCATTAGAAATTCATTTCAACCTCTTTTATTTGCTGTTCAATTATTTTTCCCCCATTCTCTGTTTGTGCCAATGGATTTTTTTTATGAGATCAGAACGCATCTCCAAAAATCAAAATTAAATCATCCACAGGAAGGCCACAGATTTCAAAGCATACCAGAACTCCTGGCACTAAAATGCTTTAGGGAACATAGCACTCACAACAAGGAGGCTCCGCTCCAATAACTTTCCTGGGGCATGTTCTGCTCACTGCAGGGGAGGATGTCTCCACCACAGTCACAAGGGAGCCCTTCCACCACTCAGGCCCACGGGGGACCAAGAGAGAATGGACACTGGCAGAGAGTGCAGATTAATGAAGTGTGGGAACTGCAGGTAATTTCATTTAAACTCCCATTCCTCAGATGGGAAAACTGAAGATCCAGAAAAGCAAAGGGGTTGTTTGAGTGCACAGGGTAATTAAGCACTGCCAGGTGAAGAAGGCAGATCCTGCCTCTCCCCTTCTCCACTGATTTCCCTGGGTGTGCATGGATATATGTTTGAACTCGCAGCAACAGGGTGGTTTAAAAGGAGTCCCAGTTAACAGCTCATCCATAATTTTGACTCAGGGATGCTGCTGATAGAATTTGACTAGCTTCCCTGTCCACCCCAATGATCAAGATCCCGAATTTCCCATTAGTGACTCAAGAGCCTTAAAGACTTTCTGAGCTAAAAGATTTCTTAGAGATCATCTACCCAAATATTTATCTTATAGATGAAAAACAAGGGATGGAGTGCAGAGAACTGAGCTCCCAGGTCACAAAGCCAGTTAACAGTGAAGCTGCAGTGGCTGGGACTGCTGGCATCCAGGCGCATGTAAGTTACACTGAGGACACTTCTCAGATTTGCGTGTGGCTCTACCAGGCTCATCAGGATAAGGAGAAAATAAGGAGGAATCAGGATACAGTAAGCAAAAACCCAGTCTAAACAAGCATATCTCAGGTCCAGAATGAAAACTTTTCCTTAGAGCAAGAGAATATAATTCTAATGAGAAAAGTAGTATCAAAAGAAATATTTTTAGGATATGGACACATACACACATGTAGGCATGCAGATGTGTGTATGCGCATATAATATAGAGATTACCACACATACTATATTTGGAAGATGCTTATTTTTTTTAAATACTTGATAGTAGGCAAATAATAAATTTACAGTGCTAGCAATGGCATCAAAATGGATTACTAGGGGAAGCTTATCTTGACATAACATTTTTTAAAGTTATCCAACAATGTCTGCACAAAAGAAAATACACATATTCTGTGAACCAGCAATTCCTCTTCCAGGAACATGGAACTATTGATAGATACAGAATTATACAAATATATGGACCACCATGTTTAATAAACCATTGTTTCTAGCAGCAATAAAAGGAAAAGGAAAACATTCAGGTGGTCTATCATTAGGGATATATACTGAACAGACTGTGATACAAACAAATTATGGAATTTTATGCAACTGTTATAAAATGAGTTATCACAGAGCTGAAGGGATGTCCATCATGATGAGTTAGAAAGCCAAATTGCGGTGCAGTGTCATTATTTGATACAATTTCTTATACAACACCACCATCTCTAAAACACTGTTATGCATGCACATCCATGTTTGTTGTGGTGGAATGAGCATGAAAAGAAGATGTGAAGGCCTGGGAACCCTTGGTGTCTAAAGGAGTGATGGATGCAAGGGTAAAAAATGAATGGGTTCTTCATACATCTTTGTTTTCACTGATTACAACGCATGCATATGACTTTTTAAATAATTAACCTAAGCTAAAAATCCTGAAAATAAGGACAGAAGAAACCCACAGATAGACCTCCAGGTTCTGTTTTAGCCACCCTTCTTCCCTAGCAGACCCAATAATAGCAGGAATACTCTGAATTAAGAGAAAAAAAAATGAAATCAACACAGCAATGAGAAACTTGAAGTTGTCTCTCTAAGCGCTGGGCTGCCATGACTATCTGATCAAGTTACTTTCCCCACTAAAGTGTTCTAATCCTGGTCTGGGAAGTGCCCTGTACAGCACAGACCAGCAACACTCTCCCCTTAAGACAGAAAGGACCTCGGTCTCCTGTAAGGAGAGAGATGACTCAAGAAGCTTCATTACTCCCTGCCCTCCAAAGAACCTTGTACCTATAAATAGACCATGCAGAACCCACTTTTTGGAACAGACCGAAGCTAACTTTGGCAGTCAGGCCTCTGGGGTGCCTGAGCCAGCCACTTGGAATGTTGGCCTTACCCTCATGGGCTTCTTAATCCAGTCCTGACTCTAAGGTCCTGAATGAAAAGTGACAGAACCATGAACATAAAGGCCCTGGCTGTGACAGTGATGACCACTGGGCTTTGACAATGATAAAACTGTTACTACCTGAAGCATGAACTGTGCAAACTCTTCGGGGCTAGTGCTCCAAAGAGAGATACCACCATCAAACTTCTAAAACTCCAAGAGCATTGTTTGCATTAACATATACAACATTCTTTGTAGGGATACAGCCCTCTGGTCCACTGCAAATTCTGTCCTTCAGCCATGACTCAGGAACCAGGAAGGAGATGGAAAGAGAGGCTGACTTACCAAGCCAACTTCTGTTTAAGTACACAGACACAAACACGGGGGGCACTGTGAAGAAATCCACTACAGAATTCACTTCCAGCCAGAACCACAGCTTATCATTGGCTGCAATAAACTGGGGAAAAGAAGAAACAAGAAAGAGAGAAAAAAAAAAAAACATGAGAAGCATGGTGCCAGCATTCAATGTACACTCTTGTCAAAGAGTAAGTTGTGAGTTTTCATGGGGGTCTGGAGGGACAGGTTATGCCCTTCCCATATCTATACAAAGCACATGCTTTTATGGTCAGATACACAAGCTTTCCAGTGCCCCAGATAGAGCCCTGTATAAACTAACTATATGCTATGTTAGTCTTAGAAAAAGATCAGGCAGTGCATTTTTCTGTGGTTTCCAACCACTTCATAGGGAAGATTGGGTGATTTTACTTTTATTAGACTCATACCTGTAAATATAACTGTAAATAAAGCACATATGTATGCATTTACACACACACACACACATGCATGCACAATCTATCTACTCTTTTCACCGCTTTCATTCATACTCACAACTACCCTCTCAGGGCTCAGCTAAGTGAACGCTGTTAAACATAATTTTAAGAGCTGAAGAGGCTTTTTTTCTTTTTAATTTTGTTTTGTCTTGTTTCGTTTTATTTTTTTGAGATGGAGTCTCGCTCTGTGGCCCAGGCTGGAGTGCAATGGCACAATCTCAACTCACTGCAACCTCTGCCTCCTGGGTTCAAGCAGTTCTCCTGCCTCAGCTTCCTGAGTAGTTGGGATTACAGGCACGCACCACCATGCCCAGCTAATTTTTGTATTTTTAGTAGAGATGGGATTTCAACATGTTGGTCAGGCTGGACTCGAACTCCTGACCTCAGGTGATCTACCCACCTCAGCCTCCCAAACTGTTGGGATTACAGGCATGAGCCACTGCACCCGGCCTATTTCTATTTAATTTTTAAGGGAACATGGCATTGTGTGAATACAGAGATGAGAAACAATCTACCAGTAGATACTTCACCATTTTTTTTCAATCCCAGTTTCTCCCCCTTGAAGCAAAACCAATGTGAATTCCAGAAAATGCTTAGCCAAGGAGAGGCTTTCTCTCCCAGACTGAAAATCAGAATGCAGGTGTGCTGTCTCTCCTGGAAACACTGGGTTTTATCTTGACTGTGAGAGCAGATGCTGATGGGGATAACCCCTGGGCCCCAGACTGAAACACCCCATGTGATACTGAACAATGTTGCACAAACTTACCCGCAAACCAAAGTAGAGAAGGAAGAACACGTTGAAAGCCATGTCGATCTGTAATGTGAAATCTTTGTAGAAATTCTGGCAGGATTCTATTGGGCTATTAGACAGGAAGAAGAAAAAGCAAGTGGTAAATGACATGCAGTATCATCCAGTTTCCCACGATGCTGAGAAGTGGCAGTGCTCAGGGTAGATGATGAAATGAATATTCATAAAAGAAAACATTCGGTCTTTCTGCCTCCTGAGATCATCAAGCAAGCATTGCCAAGGGGTCTTTCCATTCAACCATTCAAGAACTACTATTCTTTTATTTCTTGTTTTTGGAATTATTATACATCTATCATGTTTTATCATCATTCAGCAGTTGAACTAAGAATCTAAAGAGGATCATGCAGATACCTTGGAGGAAGGACAAGCAGGAGAGGCCTCCAAATTCCTTAATTTCATATTAACCCTTAAAGAACTGATTTCTTTCTTTGAGAGGATCCATACCAAAGCTAACACACAGTTCCTCATGCCCTCCAACACATCGGAAGTGGGGCCCGTTTTCAATTAAACACAGTGGTTGTATTTTGGACCTTACAAAAGTCGCTAGTTGACTAATAAATACAGGACCCAGGAGCATCTCAAAAAAGCTAAAGAGGAGAGGATCCTGGGTGATGTTCTGGTTAGATTAAGCATGGACTTTCTGTACAGGACTCGGATCTGGGAAAAGAAGCATTGTCCAACGGGTCAAATTCAGACCATCAAACCAAAATGTTGAAGCAGTACTCTAAGGGTTAATTTTTTTTTTTTTTTGCATGCATGGTAATTGACTTGGTGTATGTGTGTTGACCAGCCAATGCGAATCCCCAGCACACTCGACTTCAAGAGTCGCCAGTTCCAAAGGGTACTACTATACAAACTGGTACAAGAGTTCTGTGTGCTTTCCTGTGTCAAATTATCAGAGGATCAGTGTGGGAAGTCCCAAGGTTTGGGAAGCAGGAAAGCTTCATAAACATCTCAAAGCTGTGAATGGAAATCCATATCGCATACTGTGATCAGTAGGTAAATAGTAACACCCAAGCCAGGAACGTGAAGATGAGGTGAGGGAAAGGAGATAATAGCAAGAAAAGCAGAACACTTTCCCCAAAGAGAAGCGACATGGACCTCCTCCCTCCGGCAGAGAAATGCAAGGTGAAGGGATTTCCGTGTAGTACCACTTTGGAAACAACTGATGCAATACCAGTTAGTATAGTTGCACTTCTGCAAGGACAATGCTTGGCTGTTCAACAGGCAAGAATCTGCACAGTAGAGGAACTTAGGGCCCACTTGGAGGCAGGGTGAGTCAGTCTGTGGGAATCTCCGATCATGTTCCATGCACTGGATTTACCCATTCTTCACTACAAGTCAAACATGCCCTGTGTCATCTCCCAAATCCATGGAAAAGTCTCCAGACAAGCATTAAGAGTAACCTATATTTGCATTCACAAACTAGGCAAACTGAATAAAAAATAACACTGAAAAAGTTCTTTTAAAAAAAAAAAAAACGACAATTGCCAGGTTTTCACTAAGGTAGGGAAGTGGGTAGAAAGCGTGGAATTTGGTTAGTCCAATGCTGAAAGGAGACACAAGCAAGGAAGCCAAACATCACAGCCTGTCACGGCCCTAGGCCTCCTCTCCTACACAAGTACTAATTTAGATGCAAAAGGGAAAATCCAGGCTACAGTGAATCGGTGACACTTCTGCAATTCTCAGACCAAACAAGACCCAAAGGTCCATGGGTATCAGAGTTTCCAGCCACTCTAGTTGCAGTGAAAAATGTACGTGAACTAGGTTGACCAGAAATCCTACAGATTCCAAGTTGAAGAGACAATGCATCTCCATGCTACGCAAGCCACAGGCAGGATACGTTACTAAAGAGTAAATGTGTGTGTGTGCGTGCGTGCGTGTGTGTGTGTGTGTAAGAGAATAAGCAGCAAGGATGGGGAGATCTGTAGGTAACTGCTGTCCTCAGGTGCTCATTTGTGGCAGTGGGGACTCACTTAGCTGTGACTTATAAATGTATATTCATCAAGATTGATGTATACGCAGTCAAGGGGAAAGGAAAAAACACTTGGTTCCCAAGACTGTCGTGGAAAACTTACTATTGCTTCACCAAGGCCAAAACCTTACTGTTGCCCTCACAGTCATTATGGGTGGAGTTATTGGTGGCATATCTGGGGCCATTGTGAGTTCCCTAGCTCCTACTAATCCTGTGGTTTCTGTGGTTAATTTGGTGGTAACCTAGAAATACATCTAATTGGAAAAGTATTTGTTAGGCTGTGGTAGAAAACGGAACAGTTGGGGCAGAGATGTGAGCTGAATGTGACAAAGGATATTAGGATTCAACATAAATGGAAACAGGTATTGAGAAGAATATAAGGAATTGACTGCAGCGACTTCTCCACTGTTTCTTGCCTTCCTGGTCCTTTCTGTTGTTCCTTCTCATATTGCTCATGTTCAATGGCAATAATGAGAGGGCTTGAAGCTAGAGGATGCAGTGTTGAAAAATGCACCTTAACAACACCGCTGGTTTACAGAAAACCATGTTGAAGCCATACAGGACCTTTTCTCTAGTCCTTACAAAAAATTTAGAATTGATTTCATTATTGTTTCATGATTATTCCTTGAGTACTAAACTTAGAGCTGAAATACTAAAGGAAGTAAATGTTGCTGGTGTGGGTGGCTTTTCCTCTGGCTGAAGCGTGCAGGTAATATGAGCACACCCCAGTAATGTGAGGGGACAGGGCATGGGCAGAGAAGCAGGAAACTCTGGGACAAAAGACCCAGGTAGGATGAGTGATCGGACACTCATTGTATTTTCTATCCCTTTTAGCTATTTCTTGCTTGCCACTAGAGCCCCAGGAGAAATGTTCTGCCTGATTTTTTTCAAGTGGCAGCAGAACTGTTTGTCAGATCCCCTCTGAGATAAGTCCTCTGAGGGCCTTTAGTTCACGGACTTGCACAATCAGACACCACAGAGCGGAGCTTCCAAAGCACCATTATGTCATTCCCCAAACGGAAACAACCCATGGAGAAGTTCATTGAACCTTTAAAAAGAGAATACATAATTCAACAACAAAAGAGTTGGCCATATCTACCAGGATTTATTTTCCTCCCAAAGAGACTTTATCTTAATGATTAATGCTCGTTGCGGGATGGAGAATGAAATACAAATACTTCTCCCTTCTTGTGTAAAGTAGGAGGAGTTTCCTTGTCTAGATACACAGAAATTTCAAAAGCTAGCAAAGAAATTGTGCAAAAAAAAAGGACACAGGAAAGTGACTCTAGATCACACACAAACTTAGATTTCTAGTCTGATGAGGCACATCCACTTCAGAAGGTTTTGCATGGGCATATGTTGCCAACAGAACAAAAGTGGAGTTTGATGAACTGAAATAACACTACTTCTGCCTCCGGTAGTAGAAAACTGACTTACCCTAAACTGCTATGGGTTAACTAACCACTTAATAGCTAGAGGATTCAAGATACTTGGTAAGTGACAGACTTTTCATTCCTAGGCTCCTATAGTCCATGAAACAAGTGTGATACTAAAACCATAGGCAAATTTAGCATTTTGACCAGGACTCCAAGACTGGGTACCTTCAAAAGAGCCTCAGTAAAGAGATGCTTCTTATGTGGTATGGGTTCAGTTGTAGGACAGAGGTTGAAATACAAAATCCTGTTTCCTCTTGGCCATCAAGTAAGTATATCCTCAGCATTTAGATGTCTCTATGGAGGAAAACGAGACTCACCCAAAGTGGGAAATGTTTCTCTTTCCTCATCTACTCAGTAACAGAATTTTCAAAAAGACCCTTGAGCAGGAAGATCCAACAGACCTTCCTGAAGACTGACTTCAGAACTTGTCTTTCCAGAGCACAAGGCAAGTGAGGGCTACCCAGGTTTTCTTTCAGAGGGCAGGAGCTCATAACGTAAAATCTCACTGTAGCAGTGGTTGCTCTGGGCAACTGCCTCATCTCCAAGAGGAAAGGATCGCCCCTCCCTGCAGCCTCTAAACTTCCCTGGGTTTTCTGCAGTCTGTTTTCCGACCTCCCTGGGTCTGGCTGCCGAACCCTCTGAAGCTATTTCTCCAGGGTAATGGTTTTCAAACTTTGGCATGTGGTTGGAGGACTTGTTAGAATCTTGCTGGGCTCCATCCCTAGTTTCTGATTTAGTAGGTTTGGGGTAGGAGCCCTAGATTTTGCATTTTTCACAATTTCCCAGCTCAGGCAGATGCTGCTCATCTGATAATGCCACTTTGAGACCCGCCACTCCCAAAAACCTTTCTTGCAACTACACACTAATTATAGGTATTGCTGCAGGAGAAGATTCCCATTCAGACCTGAACAGAGATGATTCAGTATTTGAGCCTGACCCCAGATAACTAGCTGCATACCATTTAACTAATTGCTGGGATCGAGAGGTTGAACAGACATTTTCTGTTTCAGATGTGAACAACAGGGTAAAAAAATTAAAAAGATACAGGAAAGTAATTGCAATGCCACTGTGCAAGCTTCACCAGTGGACATTCCAATTAACAATCAGAGGGTACCTGCTGAGCACATTTTAGATTAAGATTAAAAGGAAAAATGATGAAGTACAGACGGGGAGGGGTTACAGAGACCATCATTAAGAAGGGATAAAGAAATGGCAAGTAGCTTAAGAATAACAACAACAATAACACACACCCAAGATGATTTAACAGGGAAGGGACTGGCTGAGGGACAAAACAGCATTTTGAAATAATTTCCAACATTAAAATTCTCCTCACTCTTGTGGCTAGTCCCTTTTAAAATTGAATGGGGCCCTCTCAATTCCCACCAGGATTATGGACAGGCAGAGTTCAGGCCCACAGTACCACAGACATGAGTCAATGCAATAAGCCCGATTCTAGACTCTTCTAGTCTCACCTCTATAATTTTGCCAGATTAATTTAATTAAAAGATGTTATTCATCCACCATCATGGTCCCCTCCTGTCTCAGACATTAGCTCTAAGCCTGGCTAAGAAGAACTTCCAAAACCTAAACTCATCCTACATCTTCTACTTTATTTGCTGCTGTTTAGCCCAAACCCTTGCC